GATATTATTGATCCTCGTCTCAAGACGAAGAGAATGACATTGGTCCCGCCGGAATCGGAAAAAGTTCATTTTCCGGCGACTTTGACCGGCAGGCGGCGGCGGCGGGGCCTAGAAGAAAAGAAAAGAAGAAATGGGGTCAAATTGAAAATTTTAAAATATATAAAATTCGAATTTGGCCCTAATGACCGGAAGTTAACCTAGAAACGGGCTAATGACTCATTAGTGAAAGGATTGTGTAAGTTCAGGGATTTTTGTGAAAGGATTTGAAGTTCAGGTACTACTTCGAAATTCCAGCTAAAGTTCAGGTACCATTGGTGAAATTTACCCAAGAATTTCCCTATAAAAAACTGCAGTCTACTTCAGCGTGTACTACTGCACTGTCTCTGGCGTGATGAAATCTCACACTTTACAATTATAAAAATCTGCAATCTTAGTACGTTTTAGTCGGTATGTATTTATAAATTTATGTTCTGGAACAAGAGAACCATCTCATCAAGCAGATCCTCACCTTCTCTCCGGTATCTCAGACCTCTCATATCATTTTTTCATCTAACTTCGTTATGTTTTGCGTGAATACATTCGTCAACCTTTATATTAACTAAATGTTTGTTCCATGAATTTTTTTTCCAGAGAGGATCAGAGGCAGTTTTTGCTTTTGCCTGTAGATCTGGTCTACTAGGAACATTGAAATTTGTTTAAGGAAACGCTATTTCGATAATGGGAATTGTGTTTACTCGGCTTTTCTCGTCGCTGTTCGGCAACAAGGAAGCTCGGATCCTCGTTCTCGGATTGGACAATGCTGGAAAGACCACAATTCTATGTATGATTTCTTTGAAAATTTGTAGCCTGAGTTTTATTTTACAGGCAGGTTGTGGAATCTCGTAAGTTTGAAATATTAATGAATGTATTTTCTATTTATGATGCAGATCGGCTTCAGATGGGTGAAGTCGTTTCCACTATTCCAAGTTTGTATTCTTTTTTCTTATCCCTAAAAAATATGGAATTTCCGTCCCTCTATGCTGTTCTTTTGTTGTGACTTTGAGAATAAAAGCCATTTGGATTTGGATTCTGAACGCCATCAAAGTAGTTGTGATTGATTACGTCTTCGGATTTTCTGCCCATGTGATACAGCAATTGGATTTAATGTTGAAACATTGCAGTACAAGAATATAAAGTTTCAAGTTTGGGATCTAGGTACGCTTGCCAATTAGTGTATAATATGTGAATGTTTATCACTTCATCTACTGTGTGTTTAATGTAATGTTCATACATTCTTTTATTAATTGTTCAATGTCGCATGTTCCACTGGTTATGTTTTTTTTGCTTGAAGAGTTGATACATACTAGTATTATGAAGATCTTGTCTTGGTCTATTAAGAGAATATTGTTAGTTTGCTTTGTTTGACCTTCCTGATTCATTTGAGTGTTTCTGCTAGCGTTGTATGCCAAAAAGTTGATTCACCGAGTGTATTCATATAAGTCGTACCTTTCAAATTCCAAATACTTCTTTAATTGAAATTTGATAGATGCTTTAGTTTTAAGGTAGTACTTTAGTATAAAGTCTTCCGTTAGTATATGTTTGAATAATGTAGATCACAATATAAAGATTTGCTATCAGTGGCTACTGGCGAGTTGTTTCCTGAAATTACAATGTAGTGGCAATGATAGTGTTTCTGAAAGGTGGTAAAGAACAAAGATTTTACTAGTGTTTCTTTTTTTGGTGTTTTATAATTATTTTTTGATGTATCCTTGCTATGCCCGCATATATTTTTTAAAAATGTTTTTTTCCATCCTCGTAAATGCACCCATCCCCATGCAACTTAGGTTGCGGTAGTTACCATCAGTGTGTGGCTGTAATATTGCATTCTTCTTCCCACTATGTGAAACATAATACAAGTTAACAAAAACAACACAGTTGGATCCCACACAAGTAGGGTCCGGGAGGGTGTGTGTACACAGACCTTGATCTTGCTCCAAAGTAGAGAGATTGTTTCCAATAGACCTCCAGCTTAGCTGCACAGATAGAAGACCGCACGGGATACCGAAAGCAGAAGATACAATACCAAGGAGCTAAAGTCAAAAAGAAAACTAAAATTAATTAAGGAAAAGTACTGCAAGAACACAATAACAAGTACTGAAAACAACCCCTAGTCCAAGGCACCTACCGAACTACTATAATCCTAGCTCTCTAAGCGTTTCTATCTAAGGGCATGTCCTTAGTACGTGCAAGAAGTGTTAAGTCCAGACTTATCACCTCCTTCCAATTCTTCCTAGTTCTACCCCTTCCCCTACTTCCCCCACAACCGTAAGCCTCAACATCTCCGCATTGGGGCGTCAACAGTTTGCTGTCTCACATGCCATAACCTTAACCTAGCTTCCTATAGCTTGTCTTCCATAGGTACCATGCCTACACATCCTTGGATAACCTCGTTTGAAATCCTATCCAACCGCGTCTGCCCCCACATCCACCGCAAGACCCGCATCTTTTCCGTATGCAGTCGACATAATACAAGTTTTTTTAAATTTGAACAAAAACTTAGAGAATAATTATCTCCTTCTAAAACTTGAGAAAATGATGAAGATGTCTTGCATATCGTTCTCAAATTCCACTTTTCTTGAAATTTGTTTGACTCAATATATGACTCTATATGTGATTTATATACGCCTTTACACACACAAGTAAAACTAATTTTTTTGTGAGGGGGAAATTGTTAAGGGTATGGATTCATGGATTATGCATGAGTGTACTGTGAATTTTCCTCACCAAAGAAGTACAGCTACAATTAAGAGGAAGTATTCGCCACCATTTCCCTTGAGGGCTGTATACTGGCCATGCTCACAAACATATATTAGCTCCGTCCCTTGAACTCTTTCTCCTTCCTTTTTTTTCCTTGTCCCACAAAATTCTCTTTTCTATTAAAAAACCACCTTTACCCCTACTAATTCTTACCCTACCTATCACATCATATCTTTTTACTAATAATCTACCCATCACATCCTATTTTTACCCATCACATCAAGGGTATTTTTGAAAAGTCAAAACAATAATATTCCTCCCTTAAATTCTCAAAAAATCAATAAGGAAAGAACTTTAAGGGATGAAGGTAGTAGCTGCAAATGGCAGTATACACTACATTTTTCGCCGTAACGGAAGTCACATAGAGTCTATTTCAATTGCCTTGCCAAGAAATTCAAGGTTATAGGAGAAACATTGCGATATGTGGTTCAGGTTGAGAACTCAAGTGCACCAAAGAAGACGTGAATGTAGAAATAACTCGACTAGCCTACAGTTGTTTGTATATTTGAATTATTGTGTCCCTGGTGGAAACAATTCCTAGGGAGCCGTATCTACACTGCATTAGAGACCAACATTGATGCAACACAATTAGAGATTTTAGAAGACTAGAAGGGAAATTATTGTGATACCCTAGCAACATGTTGGGAGGTCGAGAAAGAAGACAAGAGATCAAGGAGTAATATTTGGTTTATTTTGATTTACAACATGTTTGGTTGAAGGTAAATGAAGGTAGGTAAATACTCCTACCTTCGGTTACCTTATTTGGCTAAAACTAACGAGGTAAAGTGACATACGTGTGGGTAGTGAGGACTCCAACAGTGGAGGTAGGGATTCTCGAATCTGATTTTTGGTATTCATTATTGGCTACTTTCCTATTATTGAAAAAAAGTATGCCCTTGTTCTCTTAGAAGCCGCATTTCTCCATTTCTACTTTCATGTTCAACCCATTAGTTGAAGCTAGGCCTGAGAACCATTCAAAGCCACTATCGGTGGAGCAGAAAAAAGTATGTCCCAAAATTTCTCCTTCTTTTCTGATTTTTCTTATATCTACAGGCTGTGACTGAGAAAATTTCTGTGATTGTTGGACCCACCTTTGGGGTATGATGGAATAAAGCAAACTAACTCTTTAAATTGTCTGTGCTTCTTTCAATTGTGAAGTAGTAGTTAGTCAATGAGACTTTCGACGCTCATCATGGGTCATCTGGAAACAACTGCTCTATGTTTCAAACATATGGGCCAGACTCCGTTCATCCGGCCCCCCTTACTCCACAAGGAAGGAACTGGGGTGTTGTTGTTATTGGACCTTCTTTTTCTCATTCCTCCAGCTTCAATTAGAATTCTCCTTTGTCACTTGATCCCAATGTGGATGGAGGTGGTTGTGGGAGGTGCGAGGGGTTTGGGGAGGCAGGAGCTGGCTGTAGTGTGTGTTTGGTGTTCTTTTGAATTTTATAATTACCTACCTCATAAATATCCAAAGACATTTTAAACATATTACGTAATTTGGTAATTTACAGTATGAAGCTCTAGGTACCTTCATTTACCTACCTAATGAAACTACTTCCACCTTCTTCCAAGCAACGCCTTGTTTCCACACCTTGGTTGAATCTTAATGGGATTGATTCTTTATAACACAATAGCTTTTGTAGGTAAAAGTTTGAAGTGGTGGTAGAGATGACATGAGCAGCAGTGATATATGATTATTATTAATATGGTACACAAACCTTCTCTACTATGAAATCCTTGTTCACTTGTTCGGCTTGGATGGAATCAAAATATATTAACTTTGGAGCTCAACCACATGAGGCTTTCCAACATGCTGAACCAACCTCACAAATTTGTAGTATAAATCATGCACTTCAACAAACAACGTGATTGATAAGTGGAGAATGTGAGTGAGTACTAGGTTGTTTCAGAATGAGTATTATGTTTATAATGAATAAATGTGTGAAAATCAACCCTACGATGTCTGAGAATGAACACTACGTGGATTCATAATGAACTCTATGTTGTCCTCTCGCTGGCTTGGAATGAACACTACATTGTGATGAACAGTTGTGTGAGAATGAATCCTACGTGTCTAGGAATGAGCGCTACATTGATTAAGAATGAGCTATACGTTGTTATCTGACCGAAAGTGTCATATGACCGAATATGACTAGAGTATATATATATATATATATATATATTATATATATATAAATATCTATATATATATATATATTATATATATATATATATAAATATCTATATATATATATATATATATATATATATATATGTATAGGGATTGACTCCGGTGAGATGACACCTTATGGTAAGATGACATGTTTCAGGTAGATGACGCTGGAGCTCACCACAGATCACTGTAAAGCTCACCATTGATCACTGCAAAGCTCACCACTGTCCACTGCAAAGCTCACCATGATTTTCCAACACTTTACTTTTTTTTTTTCTTCAAAATTTGATGGTTAAATGCTTACAAAGCCCAGGAACAAAGCTCACTGATTATCATTGCAAAGCTCACCGAACATGTGCACAAAGCTCATCACACTTTAAAGTTTAAAATGATTTCAAAAAAAAAAAACAAAGGGTGGTGGTGCTGATTTCTAACCGTTGCAGACTACCGCCGTGTACCGGTGGTGCAATTTTATTAGCTTTTTTTTTTTAAAAAAGTGGTGAGCTTTGCATTGTTTCTTGGTGAGCTTTCCATTGACAGTTGGTGAGCTTTGCATTGAGAGTTGGTGAGCTTTACACTTTGACCGCCCATGACCAATGGCCACCACCGATGACCCCCACTGTTGCTGGGGACCGGTGGTTGAGTGGTGGTGCTATTTTATTAACTTTTTTTATTTAAAAAAAGTGGTGAGTTTTGCATTGAGAGTTGGTGAGTTTTGCGTTGGCAGTTGGTGAGCTTTGCATTGGTAGTTGGTGAGCTTTCCATTGGCAGTGTTGTGTGTTGTGTCTTCTCATTGGAGCATGTCATCTTACCATTAGGTGTCATCTCACTGAAGTCAATCCCATATATATATATATATATATACACATATACATATATATATATATATATATATATATATATATATATATATACACACACACACACAGTGGCGGACCTAGGAATTTCGGTGAGTGGGTTCACATTTTGTGCACAAAAAGAAAATGTTGATATTTGTATAGCAATAAATTTAAAACAAGGTAAAAAAGTATCAATAAATAGCATTCTGAGATAAATATTGCAAGTTGTATGTAATATTTTTGAAATACTGTATAAAAAATAGGGAGAAAGACCAAACTAGGACTAACACATTGAAAATATACCAAAATAGGACTTCTATGCTTTTATTCCCGAAATAGGACTTACATTATCAAACATGGTCATATACGTTACCAAAAAGTATAGTAATTTGCACATGTACACTGCCACATTACCACAATGCAAAGTCACATTACCACAGTGCAAAGTTTTATTCTTGGGAAAAAACATGAAAGTCTTATTTTGGTACTTTTCTCTATGTTTTAGTCCTATTTAGGATGATTTCTATAAAAAAACCTAAACAACTAAAATAATAATTCTAGAAATTTCTTCAAATACTAATTAATTAAGTACTCCCTTCTTCCCAGAAAACATGGAAGTTTGGATTTTGAAGAGGGATTTAAGGAGAGTGTATTTTGGTATTGAATTTCCAAAAATATCCTTTGATGTGATGGGTAAAAGTATGATTTGATGGATAGATTATTAGTAAAAAGGTATGATGTGATAGGTAGAGTATGAAAAAGTAAGAGATAAAAGTGACTTTTTAATAGAAATGAGAAATGTTTTTTGAGACGGATGAAAAAAGGAAGGAGACATGTTTTCAGGGACGGAGGGAGTATATTTTAGGAATCTTTTTAAAACAATTAAAATTGTTCATACATTTCAAAAAAATTGAACATTTTAAAATTAAGTTTCATAATTAAAGTTAAATCAATTTTCTAAATCTAAAATAATTAAAACATAAAATTCTACACAATTATAAAAGGTGTTCTCTGTTCCATTTTAAAAAAAATAGCACCTAATCACATATAAATATATTCTTCTTGGATGCCCTTAGTCTACATATGATACCTAATTAGATACTACTATTAATAAATAATTTTTTTTGGAGTGGGTGCAATTGACCCCACTTGCACAACCATAGGTCCGCCCCTGTATACACACACACACACACACTCTATTTCATAAAGTTGGTATCAGTGTTCATTTTAATTAATTATTTCATACTATATGCTTTAACGTTAGTACCTATAAAATTATTATGGTCGCCATAGCCTACTTGCCCAGCAGACACCTAGGCGGGCACCTAATCGCCTAGGAATTACTGTGATGCCAAATGTTATGTGTGATTGGGATATGAAGACTTGTCATTGATAGGCCCCACAGAGAAAGAGTTTTTGAGAGGCTCAACTTTATCAAAGTCCTAGATATTAATATTTGAATTGTATGACAATATTGATGAAGCTAATCCCTAATTAAAATATTGATAGTTTTAGTGATCCCTAATTACTGTTTTGCAACTAGGAATATTAATTAAAATGAAATGCGTTTATGAACAATAAGCTAATATTATTACAAATGAGGACTACTACACTAATTTGGATTCTCGGGGATGTCCACATGACCATATTAATGATTTGGTATTAGTAATATTTTATGACTATTTATTTAGCAACTAAGAGATGAATTGTTATTTTTTTCAGTTTACGCGTTCCCCTTCCTCATGGTACCTACTAGTTTCGTTTTATTATTCCGTCTTTAAATGGAAATTATTTTTAACATTTTTTTTTCTTACACCGGAGGGAATAGTCTTGGGTTGTGTGATGCATATGACTATTTTCGCCGGCAAATTCATGTTTTAGTGCCCCCTAAAAATTTTCAACTAGATTTCAAATTCAATTGGGTGGACATTTAGAGGAATGATTCATTTCTTGATATTTTTGGAAAGTTTCTTTAGTTGATGACTTTTACACATTCAAGGCACGTGCTTTTGTACTTTATGACTTAACTTAACACGTTGCGGAGACTAGCTCTAGTGGTGTTTTGATTTTTTTCTTTAATCATGTTTTTGTGACACAAATTGCTGCAAAAATACACAAATTTTCATTTCATAAATTGTACTACGTACCATTAAGTCCCAAATGAAGAATGTACATACACATTCTCGATGGTTTCATATCTGATGCCTTCACTTTCTTAAATTATGGTGTCCATAGGTTTGTTTCATTGTCTTAATTGTAAAATACAAATACATGGGTCATCATCTGTTTGTCTGTTTTATCGTATCGCACTTTTCTTACACTCAATTTGCTCTTGGATATTTTTCACAAGCTAACTGCTCTCTATGTTGCTTGAGTTAGGGCCTCTTGGAAACAGCCTCTCTCTACTTTTAGTAGGGGTAAGGTTTGCGTACACAAAACCTTCCCAGACCCTGCTTTTGTGGGATTCCACTGGGTTATTGTTGTTATTTAGTAAATATATATTCCTCATATAAGAGAATACAGTTGAGGAATATAGGGAGAAGTTTATCAAATAAACATGCATTTTTGGGATCTCAAGGAACCCAAACCTAGGGAGTTCGGATCTAAACAAATTCCCAACAGAATTCTAACTTATAAACTTCCATTCCGTCTTTTTTTAATAGTATCTGATGTTTCATAGCTCATAAATAACACAACAAGATAGCCTTATCCCACTATGTGGGGTCGGCTACATGGACCAAATAACGCGATTGTGCCCTATCATGTATCATATCTTCTCTGATTTCGTTCACGTGAAGGTTGCCCCTGACCATTTCTTGTCAAGCCTTTTTTAGGTCTACCTCCTCCTCTACCCTTGGTCGACCCCACCTAGTGGGATAAGGCTTTGTTGTTGTTTGTTTGTTGTTTGTTAGCTCCTCCTCTACCCAAATGTCTATTCACCATTCGGTCAACCCTTCTCACCGGATGCTCTATTGATCTTCTCTCCACATGTCCAAACCATCTAAAATGAGTTTCTACCATATTTTCTACAATAGGTGCTACTCTAATTTTAGCTCTATTATCTTCATTCCTTATTATATCCATACATGTATGATCGCTCATTCAGTGAAGCATCTTGACTTCAACCACACTAACCTTGTTTTCATGACTTCATGTTCACTCTTTGCTGCCTCTGTTCCATATTATAGCATGTCTAATCGCAGTACGGTAAAATTTTCCCTTTAGTTTTAAAGATAAATTTTGTCACATATAAGCTCGAAGCACTCCGCCATTTTGACCAACTGGCTTGAATCTTGTGGTTAACATCATCCTCTATTTCTTCATTTTCTTGAATGATACACCCAAGTTATTTAAAACTTGCACCCCGTATACTCTATTTTAGTGCGACTTATATACAAGCCATGCAACTCTCCACGAATTCAATTTTTCATTCAAATCCTCTCGTGATTCGCCCATGAGGATGATATCATCGATGAAAAGCATGCACCATGGTACGCGTTCTTGTATATGCTTGGCAAGCCATCCAATACTAGTGTAAAAAGATATGGGCTTAATGATGACCCTTGGTGTAATCTTTCACCGCTCATAAATAATAATGAGATTAAAATTCTATCATACTCTCCCTCTTCCCCCCAAAAGGAAATCCTACTTTCCTTTTTCGTCCATACCCAAATAAATTTCACATTCTCTCCTTTCCATTTAAGTAAACTGAAATAAATGAGAGCCACACATCACTTTTCAACTTTTTTCTTAAAAACTATGAAGTCAAACTATGAATTTCTTTTTGTGGACAAAGGGAGTATGTTATTTCCACTTGAAAATTAAATATCATTAGACAATGAGTTGACCTTGAAATAATAACAAGATGTTTGCGTGTGCGTTTTCATTGATTATTTGATAAAAAAATGTAGACATGACACCATTTCTTTTGTTGAACTTTTGATGTAGCTTTTGAAAATGTAAGTTGTACTGATTATTTCTATACCAGTTTGTAAACAAAATAGTTTTAGAAAATGAGATTTTGCACTATGTTCATAACAGGACATTAGTTTTGGGACGAAGGGATTATTTTCTTTCAATTAGCATATTGGAGAACTGTCAATCTTAATCCTAACCGTGCCTTTGTGTGAGTGAGTTTTCAAATTAATGTGGTCACATTTTTTCTGACTATTTTGTTTTATTATACTGCAGGGGGGCAGACTAGTATCAGGTAACTTCAAGTTTAAGTTTGTGCTTTGACTTCAAACTGTAGATGATGAAGTTACTGAACTTTTCATGAATAAGCAGCTTTATTTTCAAACCATGCTAGGGAATAATGTGTTGTATTCTCTTGAAAGTCATTGGTTGTCTTCCACTGTTCTATTTTCCTTTCATCCATTAGTATCATGCAGCTCCATTTGAGTTTAACAGTTCATCACACCAGCCATTTAATTTCTTTCATATTTAATGACAAATTTTTTGTTTAATATTGCTTTAGGGCACATAGAATTGCTGAGTTTTAGGGAGTCTCTTTCTCCTTAGATTTACTCTTAATTTTTCTTAATCACTACGGAGTATTAAACTAAAAGTTGTAAACAAGCAACTAAGTATCATGTATCAAACTAAGCAAAGTAATAACCGAGAAATTAAAGTCTAATACAAAAGGAAAACTAAGGACATATGTTCTACTGTAATAAACTAGAGAGAGAAGTTTAATGCAAAAAGGTAACTATATCTGCTACAAACTGTCCTTCCCTCTGTTTTGTGAATGCATATTGTTTCTTGCCCTTGTTTCTTGCTCATATAGGGAGTTGTGTGAAAAATAGAAGTCAAGGACCCTCCTTTGTGTTTAAGCACATGTTTCATATTTTAGCCTTGGGAATTGTGATTTTGGGATTATCCTTGGGAGGTATTCTCCTATTAAGTACGTGAAAAACTTCTCCTTTCTCTCCTTTTCAACAAAATCTATAGTGGATATCTCTGTTCTACGCAGGCCCTACTGGAGATGCTATTTTCCGAATACTCAGGCTATAATTTATGTTGTTGATTCAAGTGACACCGATAGGCTTGTTATTGCTAAAGAGGAGTTTCATGCCATACTGGAGGTATGTTAATGGTTTAGATGTTACATATCTTATTTTGCCCATATATTTCAATATATAGAATGCTTTGGAATTTTGGAAAAAAAGTTTTTTGCAGGGAAAAAAAGAAATATTTTTCTTAACTATCTACCATGGAGTGCTGTCAAGATTAAACATATGAAAAATAGGTTATTTTTTTTCCGGTTGAAAACAGAAAATTGCAGTCTCTATTCTCTTGGCTTATACCAGCAACACCAGCAACCTACCTACTCAGTAAATTCCCACTTGGGGTCTGGCTCTTGGCCCCTTTAAGATTAACTATAGGAATAATGGAATGGATCTTTATTAAAAGCATACGATGTCCGTACTGTCCTTTCATGGTACCTTTAACTCAACAGTCACCAACACAAAAAATGTAAAACCCTACATTTAAAGTAACTCCAAAGCTCTTGAGTAATTTAAGGATGCTTTTTGTAGAACTGGAGGTCACAATGCCACGCTAGGATACAAAGGTTTAGTTTTGGTTTATTATGTGGTGATTGTTTGCAAGTTCTCCGAAATATCATGGAGCATGAACATAATGAGTCAACCTTGTCCTAAG